ATTTCCTTTCAGCATGTCATTTAGTTCTTATTCTCAAAATAAAATTAACTTCTGTGGGATATAAAGTTTCAATACTGCTTCAAGACAGGCCATCTAGCAATGATGGTGTGGTCAGAAATAAGTTTGGTTTAGCAGTTAGGGGAATTGAGACTTAAATCCAGAGGGGTTTTAGTTCAGTTGAATCACCAAAACTTGATGAAATGCCATAAGGCTGTTTAAGAGACAGCAGATCTTTCACAATGAGAGAGCTGATGTCACCCACACAGCTGCCAAACCATCAACAACTTGGGTTTTTTTAGTTTTTAAAGACAAAGTCATAAAAATGGGGCAAACCAATTTTATTTCTTTTCCCTTCAAAGCATGTAAATAAGATTTTTTATTTATGCCACTTTCAAGTTGCATTTTATTTGTGCTTTCTTAACCTATACATTACAGAGAAAATTATACTCTCAACATAATTTTAGCTTTCTGTTTTTAATTTCCTTATTTTACTACTGAATTCTTGGAGTTAAAAGAAAATATGTTTCAGACCCAAACCTGAAAGACAATAGATCCTTCATATCAATTTTACGTAACTGTAAACTCTAATAAACTACAAATCTACGCTGAGACCAAGCAATTGAGACATATATTCATCACTTTTGAAAAAAATAAACAGCGTGATAAAGAAACAACCAGAAAGACAAAAGCAATGGCTTTTAGTCCTTTAAAGAGGGAGAGGAGCAATCGCCTCTGAGGAGCGTGGGCCCAGCTGCCTCTGCAGAGCTCACCAGACTGGTTTAGCATGGCAAGGTTCAATCAGAAAATGCGGTTTCCCACTCCTTCCCCCTGGGGCTCTGGCTCTAGAAGCAGCCAGACAGCATTAGAAGGGTTGTCTCTGCCTCTGCCTCCCCTATTCCAACCACACAGCCCTCCTTGCCCCAGACTTAAGTTGCTGCTGGCATCCATCAGCCCCTTTAATGAGCACAGTCAACCTACACGACAGAGGAAAATCAGGCTAGCAAGTCAGATAGGTCCATGGAGGTATCCAGGGAGTGAATGGATGCATAACAAGCACTAGGAGCATGTGGCTGGGAATGGAGATGGGAGAAAGTGAAGCACTTCCCCAGCAGAAACCTGTTGGATCACTTCATCATATATCACACAACAGAAACCTCAGAGCTTCATTTCAGAGCCGAAAGAATCAGTCTCACCTGTCCCCCAAAATTCCTCCCAGTCCCATTCTTTGTGCCAAAATATGCTTGGCTATCCAACCTACATCCAGAGGGGGGAAAAAAAGGGTTATTAAAATCTGAACCAATATCCTGACCTGGCTCATAGCCTGGCTCTGTGCGTAGTTTTGGTGACCGCAAAAGAGGGGAGTGGTGGTAAGACACCATGGGAGGCAGGATATCCTCTGTGGTAGCAGCAGCAAGATACACTAGCTTAAAATCCATCAAACTACTGCCTCTGGCTGAAGCTCCCAAGGTGGTCAGAGCTGATCTGAGCTGACAAATCCTGTGGCCAGTCCCTCCATCTGCCAGGAACCACACACTGACCCCCTGCTTCCAGGCACACAGCTACAAGGCAAGTAGATTCAGCTGACTGATGTGGCAGAAACCTTTCTTCCTCCTTTGCCTGGCTACCAGAACAGTCAAGGCTGATAAGAATCATCTTGTCACCATGTGATTTCCACATCTAACACAAGTGAAGGAGGAAAAGCAAAGGACAGGCTGGCCATCTTGGCAAAAGCTCACCACGAGACTGGCTTCCTAACACCCAAAGACCAGAACCCACTCCTCTATTCATCCTAGTTTTAGAGATCCCACCATAGTTTTTCATTCCACAGCTACAATTGTTGTAGGTCTGCACTGCAAACCAGATTAGTTCATTGAGATAAATGATTGTTTTTAACCACAACCAATCCACTGGGCTGCCACAGGTCAGAGGGAGACTGAAGGCAAAGTGTTCAGCCAGGGACAGGAAAACTTTTATTAGCACTAAAGATGACAAATGAGGAATCACAGCTGATGTGTATCAGACCACAGGAAAGGTTCATATTTGAATGAAGAAAGTCTGCCCTTGAGAGAGAAGATGATTACTTGAAGGAGTCAGTGAAATAAGACCTGACTGCACTTTTTTGTAAAATGGAACTGGAGGCAATCTAGTTTACAGTGGTTTTCCTCTTATGCTGTTTAGTATTACAAATGGGAAAGAAGTACAGTACTTTAATACAAGACTACTGCAGGGCTACAGCGTTAACCATTGGGCATCCTGCTCCAGCTCCTAAACAAAGGTAAGTGGAGATCAGAAACCAGCGCTCAGTCTCAGAACTTGAAAAGTTATATGATCTTATCCCACGAGTGGTAAACAGACTGCCCAAGGTCAGTTCTAACAGACCACAGCAGCAGGGATGTTGTTAGCGCTGTAATCAAGATACCATGTCCTATTACTTTATCTTAACATTCTGTTGAACACTTGGCTGTAACAGTTGAGTTGACACTAAACTAATTCTTTTACACGAATTATTCCCTCAAGGAATTCTTATTCTAGTATAAAAAAATCTGAACAGAACAAGGCTCAGTTTCCCTATTTCAGTTTAAAAAAAAAAAAATTAATTACATGAGATATCCCATTGTTCAGGATACTAAATATTATCAGTTATTCAGAGAGAGATGAAGATAAATGCATTCATTAAATAAAAACATATTATGCTGAAAGAAGGTATACGTTATAAGCAAAACCATTCAAGAGTTCAGGAACACTGAACCTGCACTGAGTACAAGTAAAATACTAACTTAACGCCAACTACAACAGTACACTGTCTTCTTGCCTGACTACCCAGAACAACCTGAAAGGTGGGTTTTTTTATATTTAACAGTATCTTGAGATTTACTTGCCTATTTGCTATCCTACAGTACTCCTCAAACCCAAAGATTTGGCTAATCTATATCTTTCAGTTATTATTTCACTTTTTAATTCAAATTTATACAAAAAAGAAAGCATTAGTAGGAATACCTCATCTGACACAAGATGATTTAATGTGATGAGATTTTTTTAAAGTTGACTAGAATGTGAGCAAAGTATGCATAAAGAAGGTAAAAGCCTATACCAGCGGTTAGAGAGAACCCAGAAAAACCTGCATAAGAGTACTCTGATGTCAAAACAGTTAGGACACGGAGTGACAAAGTTTATCACCTTGGTGACAGGGAGATTGTATGGGCAGTTTAAGATGCTTTTTAAAACAAAACAAAATGAAACAAAACAAAACAAGCACAAAGAGAGCCATGATATTGGCTGAAAATATGAAAGTACTTGTATATAGCTTTGCATCTCCCTAATAGAGACACCAGTTTTTATGGAAACTTATTACTCAGTTTCCATAAGTGAAAAACAGCACGCAGGAATCAGGTGACTTACATACACATACAATTACTCCCAATAACTCAGACTGCTAAATAGAAATTTTAATTCTTATATGACAAAGCATAATTTCACTAAGACACACAAAGCAATTTGCCAAAAGTATAGGCCTTTGCTGAAAAGAGACAAGGAAACCCTATATGGGGCATAAGAACACATTGGTGAAGAATTAAGTTTTTGTTTTTTATAATCTAGTTTTGAACGGTACATAAAAACATTGTAAATTTACAGGCATGCATGTACCTTCCTCTGTTCCTGACACTTAAAAACCACACCTCATCTAGCATAAGAATTATGGTATTACAGCTTCTCACCACGTGCCCCACTCCATGCCCACAATGCAATGCACACAAAAACTAAAGTCATGATGCATGTAGCAAACAGAGAAGGATTATCAGAGCAATCATGAAAGGATTATCATGAGAGGATTATCAGAGCAATCATGAAAGCAATCTGGTGACATTTCCAAAGAGCTCAGGGTTCTAAAAACCTCTGCTTGTCCCACTTCTGTTTACACCAGGAATTTGTCTACTTAAACACTTCTGCTGAGCTCAATCATAAGCCATTCCCACAGGGAAAAGATGGTCTCTGATGTATGCCCGAGAACACCACGTCAGGACATAACAACACTTAGGAATGCTACTGAGCATACTCACTGAGCATTCTTTGAAGGGAAATTGGAGTAGCTACAACTTAATTCAATCCGTATGTAGGAATTATCTGCAGGCAGTGCTGCCCAGTCAGCACTAGATAGGCACAATGTTGCTCCTTCTCAGAAAAGCATCGCAGAACCAGATGTGCATTGCAAAACGCCACCTTACCCCTTTCCATCCAGTTATTGCAGCACAATGTGTATTTGCCTTGCTGGCAACACATCACTGTCTCATTGCTCTACTTTTCCTCTGCCTGGATTTACTTCTTTATTTAATGAAATACAGAAATGCTATAAAAACACTGGAAAGGACCTGTTCCAATGTTCTGTATGAAACAAATGTCTGCCTCAAAAGTCTGTAGTCCTTAGCAAACTAATAATGTTGAATCATAAAACAGATGGTGCTTACAGAGCTATAGAATTAGCAAACTTCAGCTCCAATTCATGTGATCGTGGCACTGAAGATCCAACCCACGTGATTATGGAACAAATGCGATCACAAGGCTTGGAACTTCTCAGCTTCTCGCAAACTGAAGTTTTCCATTTGCAAGGTCATATTATATAGCTCTATCAAGATGCATTAGGGCGAGCAGTTCATTTGGAACACTGAAGAGAGGGTTTGGAAGGGGTTTTTGGCAGTGTGCCTCCCTGTGCACCTCAGGCACACGGCTGCTCCTCAACCTTTCCATGTCCCAAAGTACTTTATTCATTAGTCACCAGGGTTTCAGAGCTCTCTGAAGTAGGAAGTGCGTGTTGGTCATGATTAAGTACTCACAGCATCGGGGGACGATGTTTCTCTATTTTAAAGCTATTTGCTTAAAAGCAAAAGACAGCCCACTGTATTTTGTTCCACCTAGAAGGAAATACTTCACTTACAGAAAACAAGAAGTGTTCAGAAGATAAACTGTATGTTTAATAAATCCTGAGCAATCAATAGCATACTCACATGGGAAGTCATCCACAAACATCGGGTCTATGTTGTGCAGCAGTTCCACTCTGGGAGAAGGTCTTCCTTCACTAAGAGAGATTTCAAAAGGAAATATCAATTTCCTACTAGAGCTCATTAAGATTCTGGCTTTTTCTCATCCTAATAGAGAGTGAGCTCCCATCTGTAAATTAGTTACTATCAACTTTAATCTGAATGCTCTTTTCCAGCCTAGTAGAAACAGCTTTTGCCCTTATAAGTTTCCCCTAATTTCATTGGTGTTTATGGGGATTATTCATAAGTTTACAGAGCAGAGAAGTGGCCCTACCAAAGCACAGCTTTACAAAAATCAGCTTTAAGAATCAAATTTCACAGCATAAGCTGGCATGGCATTTGCTATGCTCTCTGCATACCTGAACTAGCGCTGAAAGCATTTTGGCTGGGTGCCTCAAAAAACACCACAGGCATCGCTATCCCACAAAAAAAACCACCTTTGATTTGTAATTGATCTCACAAGGATTATTTAGATACTCTGAACCTTCTCGAAAAAAAAAATCACCCTTCTTTTTCTAGCCATTGGCTACATAGAGATGGTGTGGAATAAGCCTCTGAACTTACCCACAAATTTTCTTAGTTAAGTGGAAAAAAAAATTTACTCCTTATAAAGGACAGCATGAGTAGGAAGACATAACTAGAAAGAACCTTGGCAACATCAAGACACAACAATATTTTATTATTTGATAGTGAACCTAAACACATCCTTTTAGAAATTTCCAAATAATTTAAACTGTTTGTTTTCATTATGGAGCTTCACTTAAGACACAAAAATTCAACCAGGGCCCCTAAGTTGCTTGACATTAAGAATAAAAATGTCAGGTAATATAAACCTTAGTTGAGAGCTAAAACATTACAATTATTTTAATACATAAAATATATAGTTAAACAATATTTACCTGTAATTTAAAATTTTCAGTAACAAATAATTAAAATTAATATTGTTCTATTGCATTTCTAAAACCATTTCTGGATGCTACACATCTTGAATAAGTACAAAACTAACATGGAGAATTGGATGAAAGATTAAATGTGTTCAGATAATACACCATTATAATTAATATAAAAGAAGTATAATAATTAAGCTACAGTGTTAGTAATTCAATGTATAGAAACTGCCACAAAAATATTTTTCCAAAATGTGAGTGAAAGGTTAATTCCACCACCACGCACCCCCCTAATATCTACAGTAGTCACACTCTTAACTAAGGAACACCTGGCCTTATTTAAACAAATTTTATCTTAGATTTAATAAACTCTTAACTGTCTCTATGTGCTCCACTGACAGCTGTTTCCAAGTGTGCCTTTCGCCATCTGTTTATAGGTAACAGTAACATGAACCAGTTAGCACAACTTACACTAGGATGTGAATTTATAGCGTGTCATTGACTCTGCAGTAACTGCCCGGGAAGATATTCTTATTTTGCAGTTTCTGAGCTGGATCTACATTTCTCAGTATATTGTAAAACCACCAGAGTTATGCTAAGTAATTCAGTATCTTCCACCAGAGACAAATACAGAATAATGAAGTAACTTCCTCCTATTTACTTCTCATCTTTATACATTCAATATTCATACTGTACCATTCAGTATTCACACAGTGTTGTGTGACCAGCAGGTTGAGGGAGGTAATTCTCCTCCTCTGCTCTGCTCTGGTGAGACCCTATCTGGAGCACTGCATCCAGCTCTGGGGTCCTCAGCACAGGAAAGACATGGACCTGTTGGAGAGAGTCCATAGGAGGCCACAAAAGTGATCAGAGGGCTGGAGCATCTCTCCTATGAGACAAGGCTAAAGCGAGCTGGGGTTGTTCAGCCTGGAGAAGAGAAGGCTCCGGAGAGACCTTACTGCAGCCTTTCAGTACATGAGGAGGGCCTACAAGAAAGATGGGGACAGACTTTTTATCAGGACCTGTTGTGACAGGACAAGGGGTAATGGTTTAACACTGAAGAAGGGTTGATTTAGATTGGATATAAGGAAGAAATTTTTTACGATGATGGTAGTGAAACACTGGTACAGGCTGCCCAGGGAGGTAGCAGATGATTTATCCCTGGGGCACATTTAAGGTCAAGTGAACAGGGCTTTGAGCAACCTAATCTAACTGAAGATGTCCCTGTCCATGGCAGGGGCATTGGGTTAGATGACCTTTAAAGGTCCCTTTCAATCCAACTTGTTCTACAATTCCATATGAGTCTATGATTATACCAACTATATTTACAGTGTTCAAGCAGACTTGTATTACTATCATATCATTAATTTCCTTTATAACTTTTAATGTGGACAGTGCATATTATACACTAAACATGGCTATTAACATTATTGTACAGGTGGTAGAACACAAAAAATAAAGATTACACCTGCATTAAGTTTTTCATGCTGCAGTTGTCATTTTTATGGAATCCATTTTTGTTCTGGGATAGAATAATGGCATTAGTAACTTGGAAATGTGATTTATATATAATCATGAGATATACTCCCTGAAGCTTATGGCATTCCTGCAATAAGCTCTGTAGCATTATTGATACTGAACTTATAACCAGCACATATTATTCCTAAAATAACATCCAGAGAAAAGAATTTGGCACTGTATGTTGAAGAAAGCACCTGTCTGACAGCAAAAGACATCAGGAAGACAGAAACAACATTCTGGGGACAAAAAGTAGGGAATTTACACATGTAACAGAGGTCCCTTTCCCTATGCCTAAACTCTGTCCTCCTTCCCACTTACAAAACTCCACACACAGACTGTACTACAGATTCACTTTGGCAGATGTTCTGCAAGGACATTTTGCACCAGGAATATAGTCTAGCCAACACAGCTACAATAACAAAGAAACAAAATTCCCTAGGGAAACCTGCCTTTCTGTTTTAGTAACTGCCAGTGTAACCATATCTTACAATGCTCTAATTTTAGAATGTTTATTTTTAGACTTCAATATTTTAATACCTCATCCCTCTCCCTAAAAATAAGGAACTTTTTATTTTGTCTGGGTATTATTCTACCATGTCTGATGGTATAATAATTAAGACACGTCTTAATTATTTAAGCAGTTAAAAGCTACTGTTTTCCAAAACAGTCCTCTAGGTAAGAACAGCATACACTGTAATTTCAGCATTGGTATGATAATCAGATAGTTTATGTTGAGAACATTGCTTTATCTTCTCATTTGCAAAGTTTTTAAAATTTATAGAAAGATCTATTATTCCTTAGTGAATGCGAACAAATATCTACATGCAATCTTTCTCTTTTGTTGTTGTTAAACATGTCCTTGGGAAGGAATGCAAGGTTTTTCAGGGTAAATATGTTTATCTCGCACAAAAACATCCTCAGTGTCACCCCGCAAAATCTCAGCCTTTATAACCTTGTCATATTTCTCTGGGTCATATCTGTAATGCTTTCATAAAATAAATATATTTCAGATATGCTGGAAATAAACATTACCCTCAGCTTTCGATGCTCTTTCTTCAGCATTAATTTATACCAAAACAATGAAAGTTTTTTTCAAACAGGTGTTTAATTCCAAAAATGAATGTAACCATTTAGTACACAAGAATTCAAACTGATCTTTCTTCATTTACTTCACCTAATCAATTCTGATATTTCCAATACTACACAAATGTAAAATTGAAACTTGCCCTGCAAAATATGTAAAACTTGAAAGCCTATGCTCACTAACAAGCTTTTACAAAATAAGTTATTTTTACAGTATTTTATCCTGAATCTCTCATGTGCTATCATACTGCTTTACGCGTTCTACCATTTACTTTTCCATTTTTATGTTAATGCAAAATAAAATACTTTTTCTGAGCATGGACATGCTAGATATTCAGTACTGCAAATCAGGATATATATTAAAAAAATTGTCAACCAATGCAAATTTTTACATAAGGAAAACTATTTTGCCTAGTATCTCAATTTCAATAGAGCAGCAAGCATCTGGAGAACAGATGTTTCTTAGAAATGCAAGTGCCTTTTGAGATACTTGCTTGGAAATATGCAGTACAGTTTAGATTCCTTGACTAGTTGCATTTTAGAACTGTTTTTCATATTCTCAATTACTACTTTTGTAAAATATATTATTGATATTATCACCGTATTTTCAGAAATAATTTGTAACATGACATGATTTTAGAGGTGCTAGATACATTGCAGTGTTAACCATGATAATCTAAGGCATTAGAAAAGGGGAATCTACTATGATTTATGTAAAAGGTTTATACTGAGACTGGAAAGATTTGGTAGCTATCCAAAAATAGGTTGACACAGTGATACTATCCTAAGTTATTTTCAAAAAGAAGTTAGAGACATTAGAGAAGAAGTTAAATTTCATTTCAAAGGTAGTTGAAGAAAAATAAAAATTATGAAGCACTGGTCTAAAGATGCGCTTCAACAGGATTTTGCACAAAGTAGTCCAAGATTGGTATAGTTGGAGAAAGACTGGGAAGGTCTGTGTGTGGAGACAACAGCATGAACACATAGCAGGGAAAGGGCCTCGTTACAGCCCATGTTAATGACAATCCAGACTAGCACATTAGCAAGACTGCAATACATCTAAGCAGTTCCACAGGGACATCTGGAGACGAAACAGTGATGGTCCCTGGGGACTCTCAGAGGTGGAGCAGAACATAGAAGCAGCATCAAAAGGATTCAAAGAGGCACAACCAGACCTGTGCATGGTATCCAGCCTAAGAACAACACAGAAGCAGCTTGAAGGACTTCACAGCTGGCATGCCCAGACCTTTCCACCATAACAACAGAAGCTGGATCCAACATCTGTTCACAAGCATCATGGAGGTGGGATGCCAGGTGGATGGCTTGAAATCCTCTGCCCCAGTGCCTGGCTGCTGGGCAGACTTCTCAGACACACACACATCTCTTGGCGAGTAAGACTGTCAGGCTGTGAGAGTGCAGCAAAACCTGCCTTTTTTCAGTTTCTGTTTTAAATGAAATCACGTTCCTCTTCTATTATGTCTCTCACTGATACAGTGTTGAAGCAGTATTTCCTACACTAATGGGTCAGGAGATTGATTTGGAAAGAGCAGACAAGCTTTTGAGTACAAATCTCTGTCAAAGAGCTTTTAAGTAGCATGCAAAGTTTTAATGAGGTGTTCAAACAGTGAGAACACAAACATTGTGCTTCCTCAGTTTCATGCATTGTCTGAAAGCAACTTAGAGCATAGCTTTCTAAAAAGAATGCAAAAGGAGGTATTTTTGTCCTCAGAAAATGTGCTCCTGAACTTCATCTTTTCATGCTATTTCCTCCTAACCATTAAATTTCTTCTGGTTCTTTAAGTCAAAATTAAGTAGAGCAGGCATGAAATTAACAGTTAGGTACATATGTGATTCTCAGCACTTCTTTTAAGCACAAGAACTTAATATTAATCAATGTCATCTTAATGTGATTCCTAATTTGAACCACCAGTCATTTTAAGTCATGACAGAAAGTTCATTTTGGTCTAGCATTTCAGAATTTGTACTTAGGATTTAATGTTTTTGACTTTAATTTCTGTGTTTTGTAGACATATTAATATTTCTATATTGTATTAAACTTATAAATATTTATTTACAGTGGTATAGTATTTTATTACAAATCATTACATTATATTATTTTCCATTGTTACACAAATAGCATGTTAAGAACACATCCTTTAAATACTGATCATTAACAGACAGATATCACTGAAATAGATTCAATATTTTTGTGACTTCTGAGAACACCTGCACTGTCTCATATATTGTTTTGAATATCTAAATCAAGGTTCCAAATTTATGATCTTTTTCTTTTAAACACACATATAAGAAACAGTAGGCTCAGGATTAAAGTACCCTCTCCACCCAGGAAAGATTCACAAGAAGCATGTGCATCTATTTATACTAGACTGGACTGAAAAAACCCCCACAGATATAACATGGTGAGTGGCTATCAATTTCCTTTTTTCAAATGAGTTAGGATCTTAGCAAATTATAATTTCACTCATTATTAGCCATCTAGTCCAAGAAAAGCAATATATTTGAACTTTCCATCAGATACCACGAAAAGGGCACTGTGCCTTCATTGTTTGCTATCCAATATTCAAGTGACCTTTTGAGTTATGATCATGAAATTTAATACACTCATTTATCCTGATTACATGGGAAAATCATATGAAATTTGACATTTTGGCTGCAAGGTCAGCCAAAGACCAGCCTAACAATTAAAAACCCTGACTTTTTACCTGTCCAGACAGAGGCCCTCTACTGATAGAACTAAAACCATGGGGGGAGGGGTCACCTGTTCCCTACAGCAGTGCCAGTAAATATTGCATTCATTCCCTTTACAAAGACATAAGACTCAAATGTCAGTAGGGTGCTGGCACAGCAGTACCTATCCTTCCCAACATGTAACTCTCCTGCTGAAGTAATCTGACCTGAGAAGATTGGTCCATTGCAAAGAATACCTAGTTGAAACAGAACCTGAAGTAGACAGGAATTCCACTGGTAGCCGGAAGAAAAGCCTACGGTTTAGGTGTACCCTAGATCTTGCTGATGTTAAGTTTTCCCATAGGAACACTGACAAGTAAAACATTTTTCTTTTTCTGGTTGGATGGGAGTCTCCATTCCTTCTTGGCAGTTAATGGTCCCTGGCCTCAATCATACATATCGTTATCTTCTTCCACTTGGAAGACAGCCATACAATACACCTATTTTAGTAGAATAAAAGAACACTGAAATAAAAGAAAGGCTTTGAAAGATGAAGGACTGACTGAACATAAGTCTTGACTGCAAAGAGTAACACCAGAGTTTCTTTTGATAGTTTGTTCCCAGGGCAAAAAGTTCATGTCTATTTAATTTATTCTTTACATTCTATTATTCTCCTTGCTCTGCTGAGCTCAAGGCTTCAGTAATTAGCACATACTCACATGTGCCCAGAGCTCCCAATATGCAGCATTTGTGATACCACTTTTATTAATCTTTTCCAAAGGAAAAATGTATGGGATTTAACTAATTTTTCTTTTAATGCCCCGAAGACTCCATTATGTGAAATAACGGCGTTTGGGATGTCCCAGTTAATCTCACCAGCATGAGAGGTGCACAGAGTCAGAGAGAGCCCAGTAAAAGTAGTTTGGTCACAGTGTCTACCCAGCTGGAGCTGTACTGGCTCTTCTTTCCAGTCATCTAAGCATATCTGCACTGTGCTTCTGAGCATTCCAGCTTGCTAGAATCAGTCACAGCATCATGACCCCTCAGGAACCAGGTCAATTCTACTTTTGTACTTGATCTCACACACTTTTTGAGCTACTGGACAGCATGATACAGGCCTATGCAAATGGTTACACTTTGAGCAGTAGTAGGCCCTGTACTAAGCTAAAAAACCATCAAAGTGGAATCTGTGTTCAGTGAGTTAAATGTCTGCATAGATTTTTTTACATGTCCAATTCCTGATGCATGCTACAGAGACACCCAACTGGGCTCTGTAGAGAGCAGGTCTTGGTCCATAAAATTTACTTATATTACATGCTGCGCAAAACAAGTTAACATACTTCGGGATCACAGAGTGTTCTTGACAAAGTATACCATGCTTAGGCGCTGTTGTGTTTATACTGCAAAATTCAAAATATCAAGTTAAAGCTGTATGGAGGCTTTGTATCTGTGACCAGGATTAATTTGCAACCTGGATAATTCCCTCGCAGACAGCACAATTAACTGCACTTATACCTTCCCTTTATTTAGGGAAAGGAACACATAATATTTCCCTCCTAGTTCCAGTTCTGTTTTCCGGGCTGATTAAACTCTTATACCAGAATGCTGACTTGGTGATTTGACATGCAAGTTACCTGATAGCTTTCCAAACATCAAAGCCATCCAAGGGCTTAGTGCCATTGGTATGTCCTCCAGCAAGGTGCACCAGTGTTGGCAGCCAGTCAGAGATATGGATGAGTTCATGACTTTCTACACCTTTTCGTTTCAGCAAAGGACTTGCAACAAAGCCTACTCCTCTTACTCCTCCTTCCCAGAGGGTCCATTTTCTCCCTCTCAGTGGCCAGTTATTCCCACCTGCCAAAGTCTGTCCTCCATTATCTGAAAAACAGGTAAACAAATGGAATTCCTGGTAAGAAAGAAAAAGAACAATCCTCCCCACAACACTTACTCATCTACTGAACAAATATTTTCACTATACAGGCCAATCATGAGAGTACTTGGATAGTGTTGTTAAGTCTTCATGTAACATGTCACACATTCAGAGCAAGTAACAAACATGTTAGTTAACACTTACAAATTACTACAATGAAAAGCTGTTGCTAGGCAGAAATAATACCATACCACAAGACAATGATTTAGAAAGACTTTGCTGTGAGCAACTTCTGACCATGATTCAAAGTACTTTTAGGAACCCAAAGCTGCCAGAATCAAAGATTTAAAAAATTTAGTTCCAACTAATTTAAAGACCACAAGAAGATTTGCTGTCAATGCCATCATTAGACTCAGTATACTCTGGTTTCCAAAGTCGTACAGTACGCTTAAAATGGAAACCTGTTATTGCAGTCTCAGGACTGTACTCGTACTCCTAGTTTTGAAGCATTTTTTTCCCCTAGATTTTTAGGCAGCACATTGATTTGTAATGTCAGACAAAACAGAGAGTCTCTCAGGCAGAGGGAGATAGCCCTGACAAAATGAGTTGAAACTAGTTAAAATAGTTAAGTGATTCCAAAATATACTGAATTTATTGTCTGGTGAGAATAACATATAAGATGGTTACAGAAAAAGTTGCATCGTGACTACAGTATATCAGAAACATCTATGTGAATTAGAGATAGCTCATGGAACATTCTTTTAACTGTCTCTGACCAAACTTCCACACTTAGAATAAAATCCAGATTCTTGAAGTTAAGAGAATTAAGGATTCTTTGAAGTTACTTTTAGTTCTGCTGTACAGTTGCTCTTGTTCAAACCTATTGTAATGTTCTCAGAAGAGTCATTGCTGGCAACTCTTTTAAGCATAATTTTCCTGTATTTTAATGAGATAAAATTTCCAATAGTAATTGTTGAACTGACATTCAGTGTAATTTGACATGTTCATACTGTATTTTCTGATTAAAAACCAGGAATTCGAGGGAAGAAACACAAAGTACATATCCAAGACCTTACAGAAGAACTTCACTGTAACCACAATAAAATTATCTCCCTTCTGGTTCATTAATTAGGACCAATTAAACCCCCACTGAACATCTTTCTACTGCACACAGGAGACCATATTTGTCCTACTAAGGAACAAATTAGATGTCTCTGTGAAGATTTTGAAAGGTGGAAGCCTAAGCTAAATGAAGCACTTGGTAAATAGAGAACAATTTGAAAAGGGTGAAGTGTTCTGTGGCCCAATTAGCTTCCAATAGGGTTGCCCGTGTGTCCTGCACTCTTGGGTTAAAAATAAAAGAATTCAAAGCTCTACCAATATTCCCACACAACAGCGTTGAGCTCTGAGAACTTAAAGAAGTTGCCAATTACAATAAAAAACAAACAAACAAACAAAACCCCAAACAAACAAACAAAAAACCCACAAAAAAAACCCCAAACCAGTTTCAACAATTCCTTCTACTTGTAATATAAACAGGAATTCTTGTCAGGGATACTCATGGGACAGAGTTTTCAGCAGATTTTAATCTTTGGTGGCCTTGGAATAAAAGGTAACTTATCTACACTGTATTAGAGCACAGTTTGAACATACAGTGGGATCAGAACTTAGGTATGCTAAATACCTTATCTGTATCACAGACTACTTACTGTCTGTTTAACAGCAGCACATCACATGAGGGTTTTTTTTATTCCTGATTATGAGTGACAGAGTGGCAAGGAAATTCCTCCAGAATTCATGTTCAAGTGCCACTCCCTGCCTAATTTCTTGACTGAGTTATCACAAAAGTGTTGTAGGGGGAAAAGGATGGTTTCTGTTTTGATTACTGAAGTTTGTTTCCTTTCCAGGTAGGCAGAACAGAACTGATGTGTCACTGGCAGTTTATACATTAGTGGCTCCTTCCACGTGGTCTGAACTGTTATCGGGGACTTCAAATATCAACAATTTGTTAAAGAGGAGTTGGTTACACAGTAGTGAAAGACCATAATGGAGTCTGTCTTCTTCATGGCTGGGCTTCACGAACGAAGATTTGGGAAGGGCTCTACCCACGTTTGTCGCAAGCCCGTTGGTGGCTAAAAAGGCCAATACGAGATAGGCATGTCTGATTGCAAAAGGCACAGCAGAAAGACTCCTTAGGTGGTATATTCTGCAAGGCACGATTCTTTCTGCGTTGTCTTTTCTCCTCGAGAGTGACCCTGCGTGCTTTCTCAAAGGAAGCAGCAGCGTTATAGATGGTGTGTCTCCAGACCTCCCGATTGGGGGCCAGAGTAGAGCAGTTATGATGATCAATATGGTCAAGGCTGAGATGTTGTTTCAGGGAGTCCTTGTATCTTCTCTTTGGGGCTCCTCTCTTGCGGCAGCCGGTGGCAAGTTCACCATAGAGCAGGATCTTAGGGAGGCGGTGGTCCTTCATCCTTGAGAGGTGCCCTGCCCAGCGCAGCTGTGTTCTCAGCAACATGGCCTCAATACTTGTGACTGCTGCTTGCTCTAGAACAGATGTATTGGTCACATAATCTGACCAGTGGGTGTTTAGGATTGTACAGAGACAGCGTTGATGGAAGCGTTCTAGGAGACGCAGGTGGTGGCGGTAGATGACCCATGATTCAGATCCGTATAAGAGAGTAAATGGAGTCTGTATTGATAAAATATTAAGCTAACCACTAAACAATCAGGATAGGGAGGGAATAAACAAGAAGCCACTGATTGCATGGAGTATAGACATGGCAGAAAGGCAGGCATGAACCACTACAGGACTGTAATGGGTGTTCTTGTCAGTCTAACTTACAAGAGTATGTCTGGACAGTAAGAGACAGAATGGGTACCGGCTGTGTACGTGTCATGGATAAACCATGTTCAGATATCTTTCCTCTAAGATAGAGCTGTAGGTGTAGATAATTGATGCTAAAAGCTTGCATGGATTCAGAATGCCATTGGATGAAAAGATGAAAAAATAATTTATAGTTCTTACATGAAAATATATCACCTCAGTCTCAGGAATTTCTTCAGCCACAAACTGAAGAAGATCTGAAAGTTTTCACAAAACTTCTGGTGAAAGGCCCAAATGATTAGCCCCAGTATCTTTCCTAGATATGTGCTACCAGGCATTGCCATAGTGAGGAGGTGCTTGGCTAGACAAATCCTTCATCTGTGGAAGTACAGCCATTCATTTATGTTCCCAAATAAGTTAATTGTCACTAACTCCTTACACTATTTTAGCAAAGTATTTCAGATATGAAACAAACTCCAAAGTCCATATGGAAACTCCTACTAGTTTAAAACACACACTTAAAATCCACTTAGGTATCAGACAAATGGGATCATTGTTCCTTCATGTTCTACACTGGCTTCACATCCAATTCAAAATCCATTTTAAAACAATATTTTCCGAATGATTTATCATCCATTTTTGCAATTGTTTCTCTCCATGACTCATCCTAATACTTTATCTCAGAAGACAATCTCCAGAGCAAAGCTTTTGGAATCAAGCTACCCACAGCTAGTGGCCTTGGTTTGCCTATTATTAAAGCTTCAGCCTTGCTACTTCAGCTAAAAACACAAACCTCCCCCGAGCATGATACTTAATTATTCTCTCCCTCCTGGAGACAAACGTCAAATGTGATTTTCATTAAAAATACTGAAATAGTTTGGAAAATGTAGTGAGCAGATGCTTCCTATCTGTAAGAATCGTTTTTGTAACTACATCTATATAATTTAGACTGCAGTAGTACCCACAAGATACTACAGGAATTAAAAAAATCATAAAACTAACCAGCTCTTGTCCCTAACAAAATTATGAAAGGGAATAAGGCTATACTTATTTATTTACCACTCTTATTTATTATTTTATATATATACATAAGACTCTTATGTGTTACTTTAAGGAGGGGGGTACCGAGATGCTTTATTTCCATTCTGATAGAATTTTCCTCTACAAGCTGAAATTTGAGACAGCAAAAGAGAACTCTGGGGAGAGACAATCTCACTGATACAAGAAGGAGCTGAAACAGAGTTTGTAGCAGGCATTACCACCATGAACAAAAAAATGCACACAAGACTATGCAGGGTAAATGGCAAAACGACAGAATAAAAGAGAGCAACAGAAGCATCCTGGCCTTTAAAAGGTAGTTTCCATCAACGCTGAATCAACATCAATCTCATTGATCGCAAACAAGTCTGTGTAATCATAAACAACATCTGCAATAAATACTTTTGAGGTCAGGAACTGGTCAGGAGAGTCTCTAGGTACAAAATCCAAGCTCATCTCTAACATTATTATCCTTTGCCAATTTACATAACTTACAGAATCACAGAATGTTAAGGGAGTTGGAATGGACCCTAAATATCACCTAGTCCCAACCCTCACTGCCATGGGCAGGGACACCTCCCACCAGACTAGGTTGCTCAAGGCTAGGTTTGGGGCATCCACAACCTCCCTGGGCAACCTGTTACAGTGTCTCATCACTCTCATGTAAAAAATTTCATCTTAATATCTAAGCTAAATTTCTCTTCTTTCCATCTATTCCCATTACTCCTTGTCCTATCACTACAGTTCCTGACAAAGAGTCCCTCTCTGCCTCCCCTGTAGGCTCCATTCAGATACTGGAAGGTTGCTATGAGGTCTCCATGCAATCTCCTCTTCTCCAGGACGAACAGCCACAACTTTCTCAGCCTGTCTTCAGGTGTTTCAGTCCTCTTATCTACTTTGTGGCACTCCGGACTTGTTACAAGAGTTCCCTGTCCTTCTTATGCTGGGGACACCAGAAATGTACACAGTACTCTGGGTGGTATCTCACCAGTGCAGAACAGAGGGGGAGAATCACCTCCTTCCACCTGCTGGCCTCACTCCTTTTCAGGCAGCCCAGGATTCAGTTGGCTGTCTGGGCTACAAGTGTAATTCTATTTTTATTCTGTGTTGTCCTTCAGTACCCAAGGAACAGGAACCTAATAT